ATCATGATTTCATGTCTGTAAAATGCTGAGATCCTGATTTCCAAAAAGCCAAAAGTCATCATGTCACCATTCTATTTAGTCTCTCTTCAAAAGATAAAGAAGAAAAAGAACAGAAGACAGGAAAGCTGTATAAGAAATAAAAGGGGGTTTTCCCATACATATATATGAATGATAATACTATGTCAATGGTTTTGGCAAAATGAGATATTAATACCAATGAAATGTTAGATACCACATCTTCATCTCTGACTAATGGTACTAAGAAAATCAAATTTCTAACTAAAAATTCAATGATTTAATAGAATTATAGAAAACAATTCTATACATTATACATTGTATATACACACAGACAAGATATATATAGATATATATCTATATATATATTCACACACACATACATATATGCATTTTTTTTTAATTTTTATAAATGTCACTAGTTGTAGAGCGACTTCGGGCCTTTTGTTCACAGGTTCCCTATGAGCTGTGCTCAACTTGAAGGCACTCAACAATGACGACAACAATCATACACACACACATGCACATCACCTCCTGTGTGTGTGTGTGTGTGTGTGTGTGTGTACCGTGACTGCTGCAATTGGCCCAAAGTGTGTCAGAGATTATTAGGATGACACAGGACAGAGTTCAGATGTGTTGTTCATAGGATAGCTAGGGGTCGTACTCAACTGGACAGCATCTGACAGAAACAACAATTTATCGAATGTATCCTACATGCTTATGTTATATACTTATGAATTTGTTCTGTCAAAATTTTTAACAAATATTCGTCTCTTAACAAATCTCCTCTATCCTAAATATATCCTATGTGACCTTTCATTTTCTTAAAAAAAATATTTCTAAAATCATCTTTCTTAAAGACAATTCTCTTGTGAATTCTATACATTTTTGACAATATTGTTTCTCTCTCTTAATGCCCACTGGACTCTCTTTCAATGGAAGAGGAAACCGACAAAAATATTACAAACAGCTTTAAGAGAGCTTCAGAAATGGAGACACATTCTGGCCAATATTGTCTTGCTGTATTTTATGTTTCCTGAGTCGTCAGTTGGACCTGACATTAAGTTAAGGCCACTCCTTATGAAGTCAGAGCTGCCAAGGTCTGCTGGGGAGTTACCTAGCTTTGCAGAGCCAAGGCCTTATCTCAAAGGATAAGGTGGAGTTTGCTCTTTTCCCCTATTGCAAAATATGAGAATATTAAGTAATTTGTTTATATCATACAGATCCAAGAACTTAACTGACTGGGTTTTTTAAAGGATAAAATAGTCATAGGATTTCCTACTAAGGAACACTTACACTACCTGAGACTCTCCCAAGTCTCAATTCATCCAACAAAATTTGGCCATTTCCTCTAAGCAGTATGAAGTGGAAACCAAGCAGATATTCCTCATGGTCAAAGTTTCCAGGTCATTCTGTAATTGCAGAGCAATTTGTCACTGCAGAACAACTGTGTGGATATAAACATGCTGGAGCTTTGAGCCTAGAAACAAGGATGTATATCTGAGATGCTGAAATGTTTCAATGCATTTATCTTTTCACCACTAAGTTTAGTTCTTCAAAGCTTTACATGGTATAAGGTAATCAATGAGAGACCATACATAAGGCCACTATTTATTTCCTTTTTAAAAAGGATCTCTTTAAACCATTAGCACAAATACACAAGTGAAATTATGTGAAAACAAGTTAAGTTTTTAAATATATACCACCTCAATAAATCTATTATCTAAACAGGAAATGACTCCTCTTCTGACTCACTCTATTCTCAGTGCACTGCAGATGACAATTTTCTATTAGGTTTCTAGATCATGGATTAAGTGCCAAGCCACCCATAGAGAGCAGAGGTGAACCAGGTGAACAGAAGGTGTGGCTTGAAATCTCCTTCTCCTCCTCCTTCCTCAGACTACAGCTACAAGAAATTGTAGAGAACATCAAGCTTTTTTCTCTTCAGGCTGAGCTGAATCCAACTACCGAAAATTAAGTGGCATAAAAAGAACTCTGAGTGTGAACATTACAGAGCAACTAGAGTTACTGGATCTATTTCAACTTACTGAAAAGAACATCTTATCTATGTAATTAAAGGGGGAGAAAACCTCTAAAACAATTTCTAAGTTTACTATTACAAACTCTTAGTGCTTTGGTATACTTCAACCTTGCTTATCCTAGAAGCAAGAGAAATAGTTACAGCCCATTGAATTTTTGAGCCTTAAACTGAAGCATTTAGTTCTGTCACAGTGTAGCAGAAAGAGAACTACTTTAAAACAGATACAGCAGTTTGCTTTCCTTCAAATATGCCCTTGTATGTATTTAAGGCATGAGATGAACTCATGTTCTCGAGAAAAATACTCTCCTGAGAAAGTTAATCTTTTTAAAATATCTTTACAGCTCAGTCATCTGTTTGTTCATTCTCAAATAATGACATGCTGATCATTCATTTGTGTTTCCTTCACCTTTATATGTTACCCTAGAGTCACCACCAAATTGCCAGGGAAAGCTACTGCTTGAAGGGGGGAACTCATGGTTGGAAAGGTGGAGAGTTGGCAAAAGAAAGAAAGGCCCTCAACAAGATGAATAGACAGTTAACTACAGTGAAGGGCTCAAGTATACTGGAGATGATGACGATGGCACAGGACAGGGTTCAGATCTGTTCATAGGATCACTATGAGCTGTACACAATTTGATGATATCTAACAATAACCACCACCACCACCCCCTCTGAAGTAAGCCAGGTGAGAAAACTGGGGCATCTCTTAAGAGAATCCATAAATGGTTCCTAACTTAAATTTCAAGACTTTTGATGTTAAAGACCTCCTAAAGACATTTAGTCCTCCACCAGATTATAACACTGAGGCAACCATAGTATAGGATTTAGCCAGACAGCATCAGCTCAGACTCAAATGAACATGAAAAAGAACCATTAACAGAAGACTTATTAGAGTGGTGAACATTCATCTTCACAAAGTCAAATATTCTCATTTTGTAGGCATTGCTACTACCTTTGGATTCCTTTTTGTTTCTCCTTTCAGAATCTAGCTACAGCCTGCTGCTCTTTTATTTATTTTCATTGTCTTCACTTTTTTGCTTAAAAATTAAGGGAAATACTTCAGGAAATAACACTTCTCAAAGACTTAAAAAATTGCTATACAATATCCTATTAGAGTAGTGTGCTGTCATTCTCTACAGATCTTATAAACTCAAGACTGATTTGCATCTCCTGTGAACCTAGCTGGCACCTCTTTCTCAAGGAAAGCACATGCACATCTATGCACACATATATTACATCTCATTCCCAGAAGTTCTCAAGTTTTCTTACTGATTTTCCACCTTAACTGTCCTCCTCAAAAAACTATAGGCTATTTTCTCAAACATACATTATTTCTCAAATCCCTATGTTGCAGTTGTTATTGCTCTTAATCTCTTTTGACCCAAGGATAGTACAGAGTCACTGCAATAGAAATTTTACCTTATAGGTTACAAGAATCTCGGGACAAAAGTTTCACTAAAGTGCATTCACCAACTTAACATTTTCCCACAGTCATGTGGTAAAAATACAAGGAACCCATAAAACAATATGAAAGAAAATACTGTCGTTTCCTTTTTCCTATGAAACTTGGGCATCGGATTCTTATTAGACTCCAGAGCATAAATGTAGGAAGCTGAAAGGTGAAGTGGAGGGGAGAGGAAAGTGCAATAGGCCAGGGGAGTAGGAAGGTGCAAATTTTTCAACTGTAAAGGGTCAAAATAAAACTGCTAAGGAAATATGAGAAACAACAGCCATATTATTAAAATTATCCTAGTGCCACAAGAGTATCCCTTGCTAGGGACAATTCACTCCACTCAAGAATCACTCCAGGGCATAAAATGCCCACATTCTTTTTCCCAACTCCACTTCTCTGGTCCAAGTTTTCAATAGGCAAATGTTTACTAAATGATAACCAACCAGTCAACAAGCAAGAGCCACAAACACCTATGAACTGCCTTCCAAATTATTTTAAAGGATAGCATTTATCACCTGGCTCACATACAAGTTTTATTTAACTTTAGAAGCACCATTTTAGGAATCTCAATATAAATATGAATAGCACCTTGGATATATGTGATGCCTTCACATAACCCACAGTATCAAGCAAGCTCTGCATTCTCACTATCAAATAAATAACACTACTCCTACAGTATGCAAACAATGAGTTACTAACGCTTACAGTAATGAACAAATCAGTAAAGAATAGTAATGATATTCGCACAACATGACTGATGTAACTGGTTTCACTAACTGTGTACACACACACAATAAAAAGCTGAACTGGCAAGTGTTGTGTTATATATCATTTTACTATAATAAAAAAGAGAGAAAGGGGAAATGGAGGTATAATGATTGTATAGCAGCACCATTATAGTATAACACTTTCTTGGTTTTTAATGGACACTAGGAAATATTAGCAAAAAAGATTCTAAAGGTTAAGTAAAAAGTACATGTCCATCTTTTCCTGAGACTCATCCATGATTACCACTCCAAAGAGTTTCACTTATAGATTAGCTTTTTCCTGCAACAATGAGATATAAATCAGCTTTCTTCTATAACAATCATTTCTCTGCCCTGCAAGTTTTGTTTTTTTTTTAAAAAAAAAGAGTGCTGCCAAATACATGTCTGAAAAGGTAGCAAGACCTTCCCTAAATTAGTTATCAGAAGGTGATTTAATATTATCTGGTAAAATATTTCTTGTTGACAGAGAGGCACAGCTAATATACACTGGTTTCAAAGTGAGACCCCCCTTTTTTTTTCATGCAGGACCACACTGATTCCGATTCTGATGACCCAGGGAAGTTCTTAAAATTACTTTTTGCATTGAAGCAAATGTGGTAATACATGAAACACTACAGAAAAGCTTTGGATTTTAACTTGAAAATCTAAGCTGCATGAAATGCATGAATGCCAGTATCCACAGAGACATATGTATATGAATATGCACCAAACCCAGAAGGCTCACCTTCTACTTCTTCTTCATCACACACATGCTTAAGGAACGAAGCTCCTCTGTCCAGGACAGCTTCATCCTCCATCCTATAGTAATAAAAAAGAAAAAAAGAATGCTCAGACTTCTCCTGAAGCGAGCCACTGGAAGCAGCCCAGCTTCTGGGCAGGTTAACCTGCAAGCTGTTGTTCATGTTAACAGGACACAGTTACTCTTCTCTTGTTGTCTGCTACTCCTTCACACAGCTCCTCTCGTCTGGTGCTTGAAAATATGCCGGTTCCACATTGCTTCAGCTCTAACCTTGAAAGGGCATCCACATTGGACATGTGAGAGAAAATATTCCCAATCCTGCAGGATGATTGTTAGGGGCACTCCCCTTTGGGGTTTGCAAAAGAAGAAGGGAAAAAAGAGAGAGAAGAAAGATGAAAGCAGGAAAAAAATACCAAGAGAGGAAGTTTGGTGTGTCTAGAGTGCTCGTGATGATCGTTTGTGGAAATCCAGCTTCGGTGCTTAGCTCTTTAAACACCCACTGCACAAAAACGTATACCCTCTCACACACATGCACACCCACCCACACACAGAGAGAGACAGGGAGTTAGCCTAGTGCACAGTGGGAGCCTAGCTTCCAGCCAGCCTCTTAATACCAGCACAGCCCAGTATTCTCTGTTGAGTGGCAAGCTTTGAGTCACATGTTGGCCTTACGGAAATCTGACATCTGAGGATTATCTAGCAACCAGGCTTCAGCAACAGTCACATATACATGCCACTCATTCATTCATTTTCCACATCCTTGTCACATGTCTCTATGTATATCTGCCCTGGTAAGTCTTCCCTGAAGGGCACAAAGTTCTTCATTTTGTAATCACATTATGTTGTCCTCCTGTCTCCTTACATAATAGACTCTACTCTGCAATTTCATATGCTAAATAAGACCTAAGAACCCATCCAAGTAGAGACAGCGCTTACATGGCCTCCCTGTGCCAAATGTGTTCCTAGTTTATGAGTGAAGGTTTATTTCCATACTCTGTGGCTTCTTTTCTGTGTTAATTTTGACACAGAGAATTCATAAATTCTATTTATAGTGAAACAAGAAAGAAAATCCTGAATTGCTCAAATGCTGCTGATGTAGTACCAGTCGAGAAACAAAGACCTTTCTCCAGGGACAGCTGCTCTATGTCATACCATACACAAGCTCAGCCACAGAGCCAAATGTTCACTATGCATTCTACTCACCCAATTATATGCCCAGGCACCAAATACTGTAGATCTGCTTTCCATGGTGCCTGTATAACTTACTGTTGCGCATCATACATTGTTGTTGTTATGTGTTATAAATCTATGTGACGGTCCACTGAATTACTATTTTTCTCCTTTCTATTCTAAGGGCATATCCATCGCATAAAGCAAATAACAGCTCAGTAAAAAAGCAGGAATTGTTTATCAGATATACCTATGCTGAAAAGAAAAAAAAAAATCTATTTTTACCACTTAGTTAGAATCTACCAGCTGCTCTACCGGGGGAAAACGAGCAATCTCCCCCCACGCAGTTGACTGCCCCTGAAAACCTGCTGGAGGTCAGTTATGGGTCAGTTCTAATTCAATAGTACTCAACAACAGCAAATACTTACTACTTTTATCACCTGGAACCAAGTAACAGCATCAGTTTTCCCATCTCTATGATTAAAACCTGTTCCCATCAAGTCAACCTGAATTCATGGTGGCCCCATGCATTAGAGGAGAACTAACTATTCCGTAGGATTTTCTTTCTTTTTTCTTTTTTTACTGCAGCCTTTACAGTTACAACTCAACAGGACTCTCATCATGGCTGCTAAGTAGTCAAGTGTAAACCATTTGCACCACCAGAGCTCCTTTCAATTTTTGTTATGGTTGTCATGTGCTGTCAAGATAGAAATGACTCAATAGCTGAGCCTCCAGTTGGTTTTCAGAGGCTGTAAATGGCTTGGAAAGAGACTATCCTTTCTCCGTGAGACCAGCTTCTGGGTTCAAACTATGTGTCTTCACTTCAGCAGTGCATCTCCTCAGCACTCAGCCACCAGAGCACCTTAACGCTATTAGATGCTATCAAAAGGAGCACTGGTGGACTGATATCAGGGTTAGGGTAAGACTGAGAAAAACTGGATAAATTGTGTATACTGCACTGAAGGAGATGATGGAGAGAATAATTTAAAAGTGATGTATGATAGGGTATTATGGTTATCACAAGAATCCACAATTAAGGTTGCATAGTGGAATGTACTTGGGGCGGTGGGAGGGGTGTGGGGGGATTGTGTACCAGGGAGGGAGTGTTTCTTTTACTTTTGAAAGAGAGGAGCTAACTGGGGGGGGGGGAAGGGGAGGGCTGGGCAGGGAGAAAAGTGCAACAATGAATGAATGGAAATCCAAAATCTCTGTAAATGTTCATTAAAATTTTTAAAATAAAGCATTTTTTTTAAAAAAAAGGAGCACTGGTGGGACAGTCCGTAGGCAGTTGCACTGCTAACCACTAAGTCACATCGCTCTGGCAGCGCCCAGGGAAAGAATTACCCTCAGAAATCCAATGGAGGGTCAGTTCCAACCGGATGGCAGTGAAGGATAAAAAAAGACAAGTTGCCTTCAAGCCAGTTCAGACCTATGGCAACACCACGTGTTGGGAGAGTATGACTTTATTCTGACAGTTAACAAGGCTATGTCTTTCGGATGATAAAACCTACCTTTCCAGGTCTTTTGCGTGGTTTTGAACAGTCAACTTTTCAACTGTAGTTAAGTGCCTAACAGTACCACTTAGGGTCTCTTTTGTATAAAATTAGGAGCAATAATAACAATATTAAGGACTTCTTTGAAATTCAAATTGCATACTATGCTGGTGGCCTAGTGGTAAGAAACTACATGGCAATCTTGAAGGCATATAATTCGAATCCACTAGCAGCTATGTGGGAGGATGGGCAATCTCCTCCCCTGCAATTAACAACCTCTGAAAACCCACTGGAGGGCCAGCTATGGGTCTGTTCTTACTTGATGGTATACAGCAAAATGTGTATTATAATTCAACAAGGTACCTAGTGCAAACATGTTTAATAAACCTAAGATTCCTTCCTTTCTTCTTTACCATGTTCAACTCATTACCTTCTGACATGTGCAGAATTTCTTCTTTCAGAGATATTGGATTCATATATACTGATTCATCCTAATTTACAATTGTTTTCTTCTCTATTCACTAATGAAAAAATCAAATCTAATTTTTTTAAAAAAATGGAAATCTTTAAGTTATAGTAGAAAAGATAATTCCTTCAAGACTTGAGAGATCAAGTCAGTTACCAGCCTCCCTGAAGCTCTCCTGTCATCATACTACCCATAAGGATTGAATGACACAGCACATTTGAGACAAAGGCAAAAATGATTAGACAGAATCAGTGATGTGAAAACAGAGATACAAAATATTCTAAGCAAAGGGAATAGTAAGAGCAAGGGCTCTAAGGTGGGAACAAGCTTATTGTGTTCAAGGAACAGAAATGAGGACAGTATGACTCGAGAGGGAGGCAGAAGGTCAATGGTAGGAAATGATTCTAGAGTGAAGTGGAGATGTGCAGGCCCCATTAAAAAGTGAGAACTTGTGGTTAAGTGTTACAGGAGCCATTGAAATATTTAAACAGGCCTTGGTGGTGCAAAAGTTAAGTAAAAAACTGTTAACCAAAAGGTTATCGGTACAAACCCATCAGTCTCTCCAAGGGAGAAAGATGTGGAAATGTGCTTCTTCTAATGCCTGTATCCTTGAAAAACCTCTAGGGCATTTCTACTCTGTCCTATAGGACAGTTATGAGTCAGAAGCAACCCAATGGCTATGGATTTAAGTTGGGATTTACTCAAACTGTTTTGCCTTTTTAAAGAATAATTCTGGCTGCTGAGTGGGTAAATCAGGGGGAAAGAGAAACTAGAAAGCTATCACAGAAGCCCAGAAAACCAAGGGTTCTATTTTGGCCACTTTAAGGATGAGATGCTTCTTTGTGGGGGGAAAAAAAGGGGGGTGGACATCAGGTACATGACTAAATGTAAATCTGGAACTAAACAGGGTCGGTGCTGGAGATAAATATTTGGAAATAAAAATGTTTGAAAATCACTGAATAAACTGGCATCTGGAACTCTTCCTAGATAAGAGCACCCAGGAAAAAGGGGGAAGATGATAAGGAATGGAGGAACAGGGTACACCAACCTTTAAAACCAAGCAGAGGAGGAAGAGCAGTCAAAAAGTAAGAGTAAAACCAGGCATGAAAGAAGGATGTTACGGAAATCAAGAGGAAGAGGCTGTCAAAGATGAAGTTACAGATGTGAAGGCTACATGTGGCAATCCAAGTTCACTGATGATCTTAGAAAAAGCACTTGAAACATCCCCTGCCCAGTACTAGGTACACAAAGGACAGTCATTAACTCTCTTTTTCTCTTTCCTGCCTCCTACATTCATTTCTGCAGATAAGTGTTTACTGAGATCCTACTATGTACCAACTTCATTTCTAGGCACTTAAGATACGGCGATGAGCCACACAGATCAGGTGCCTGCCACCATGTAGGTTACATTATACTGTAACTACATATGCCTTCTCAAAGACCTCTCCTAGGAACCCAGGAGCATTGGTCAGTGTAAGATCCCATCTATAATAAACTGTTCCTAAGACCCAAATAAAAATGACAGCTTAATGGAAATCTCCCTTAAAAGATCTCAGAAATCTGGAGTGTTGCATTACTGCAGGTACAGTAACAGTCCCATCTTCCCTTCGAAAGACAAAGCATAGCTCAGTGCACATTCTCTCTCATAACTAACTCATTCCAGTCTATCAGCCTTACAAAATTCAACAAAATTTCCTGGGCAACATTATTTCTGCACCTCATCACTAATCACATTGGTCCTCCAATCTTCCAGGAGCTTTTTATGTACTTTCTAAATAAAATATTTAGCCTTCACATCTAAGTCCTTCCCAGAACTTCATGCAAGTTAAACTGGATGTAAAGGAAGAAAACCAGCAGTAAGTAGAGAGGAAGGTTCATGCAGACACCCTGGGGAACAGATCCAGCCTGCAGAAGCCCTGTCACCGTGTT